CAAACAAATTGCATCACAATTTTGCCTTAAAAGGTGCTGTTTTTTTAATAACTATAAATGGCTTAAAAAAACTGGAATTTTTTAAACTGCTTGAGCACTATTTTTAGAACTTTGAAACATCCCAGTCAAGTTATTTATATGTCAGGATTATTATTGCTTTTTGAAAAACATTTAACAGAAAAACTACTCTCAGCACTGACAGGAAGCTGCTGCGGCAGTGACAGTCTGCATGTATGTGATGTCACAGAACAACAAAACCTGAGGGTGATTCTCTGACCTGACCTGGTGTACGGTACGGATTCACAGTGAAGGAGATAAACATGTAAAGGAAAGAGCAGCTCAAACAAAAATGAGCAATTTCTCAAATAGGCGACTCTTGGTAAACTGATAAATGTTTTCTCGCAAATTACCGCAGTCTAGTTTTGTTGCCCACCCACAACGAAGTACATTTTACCCACTCATATTATGTCAGCGGGTCCTGCAGAACCCCAGTCCTGCCGCGGGGCTCTAAGTTCAGGTAGCAACCTGCAGGAAGGAAGGGCCTTGGAGAAACGGTGAGCTGAGCTAGGGGCTTAGGAGACAGGGTCATAGAACACAAGGAAGCGGATCGGGCTAAGGCAGGGGCTGGGAGGGAGCCAGCCCATGGGCAGAGGGAGCTGCTGCAGGTGGAACGGGGAGAGGGGCAGTCTTTCCATGTGATTACACTGGTCTACAATTTTTGAGAAGTCGTCTGCTTCAGAGATAAAATGTGCTATTTATTATGTATTTTGATGTGCTGAATTCAAATATGACAATTAAAACAACTGATTGGCTACTGTTTCTAAGATATTTAAGATTTTACATTTTATGTCTATGTATATTGTGTAGATAGAGTTTTAATCAAATTGTAAACCTAGGTCTTTTCATGTGTTTATGGTTGCTTTACCATAATATTTCACCTGTCCTGTTTATGTAACACTTTAAAAATCAGCAAAAGGGTTATATAAATAAAATTTATTATGAAACAAAAGACAAAACTATTATGTACATAGTTTAGTCCTATTCAGTGTCTACTCGGCGCTTCTTGGCTTGTCTCGTTAAATGGAGCATCTCTTGTCACTGTCCAGCAATAGTCTGCAAGCATTGATGGGCTCCATTTGCCCTGATAGCGTTTCTCCATTGTTGCAATGTCCTGTTGAAATCGCTCGCCGTGCTCGTCGCTCACTGCTCCGCAGTTCGGTGGAAAAAAATCTAGATGAGAGTGCAAAAAATGTATCTTTAGTGACATGTTGCAACCAAGGCTTTTGTATGCCTTGAGGAGGTTTTCCACCAACAACCTGTAGTTGTCTGCCTTCTTGTTTCCGAGAAAATTTATTGCCACTAACTGGAAGGCTTTCCATGCCGTCTTTTCCTTGCCACGCAGTGCATGGTCAAATGCATCATCTCGAAGAAGTTCACAAATCTGAGGACCAACAAAGACACCTTCCTTTATCTTAGCTTCACTTAACCTTGGAAATTTTCCACGGAGGTACCTGAAAGCTGCTTGTGTTTTGTCAATGGCCTTGACAAAGTTCTTCATCAGACCCAGCTTGGTGTGTAAGGGTGGTAACAAAATCTTCCTTGATTCAACAAGTGGTGGATGCTGAACACTTTTCCTCCCAGGCTCCAATGACTGTCGGAGTGGCCAATCTTTCTTGATGTAGTGGGAATCTCTTGCACGACTATCCCATTCGCAGAGAAAGCAGCAGTATTTTGTGTATCCAGTCTGCAGACCAAGCAAGACAGCAACAACCTTCAAATCGCCACAAAGCTGCCACTGATGTTGGTCATAGTTTATGCACCTCAAAAGTTGTTTCATGTTGTCATAGGTTTCCTTCATATGGACTGCATGACCAACTGGAATTGATGGCAAAACATTGCCATTATGCAGTAAAACAGCTTTAAGACTCGTCTTCGATGAATTAATGAACAGTCTCCACTCATCTGGATCGTGAACGATGTTGAGGGCTGCCATCACACCATCGATGTTGTTGCAGACTACAAGATCACCTTCCATGAAGAAGTATGGGACAAGATCCTTTTGACGGTCACGGGACATGGAAACCCTAACATCACCTGCCAGGAGATTCCACTGCTGTAGTCTGGAGCCCAACAGCTCTGCCTTACTCTTGGGTAGTTCCAAATCCCTGACAAGGTCATTCAGTTCACCTTGTGTTATGAGGTGTGGTTCAGAGGAGGAGGATGGGAGAAAATGTGGGTCCTGTGACATTGATGGTTCAGGACCAGAAGTTTCATCCTCTTCCTCTTCTGACTCAAGTGAGAATGATTCTGGTGCATCAGGAACCGGCAGTCCTTCTCCGTGGGGTACTGGGCGTATAGCTGATGGAATGTTTGGATAATGCACAGTCCACTTTTTCTTCTTTGACACACCTTTCCCAACTGGAGGCACCATGCAGAAGTAACAATTGCTGGTATGATCTGTTGGCTCTCTCCAAATCATTGGCACTGCAAAAGGCATAGATTTCCTTTTCCTGTTCAACCACTGGCGAAGATTTGTTGCACAAGTGTTGCAGCATATGTATGCGGCCTACCTCTTGTCCTGATCTCCAATTTTGCAGCCAAAATAAAGGTGATAGGCTTTCTTAACCATAGTGGTTATACTGCGCTTTTGTGATGCAAAAGTCACTTCACCACAAACATAGCAGAAGTTATCTGCACTGTTCACACAAGTACGAGGCATCTCTGCTCACTTTGGCTAAACAGAAATGTGTCCCTTTGCAAAAGCAAACACTGACAAATAAGAGAGCACGACACTGTATGATTTCTAGAGCTGATATAGGGCAATTTGTTCAGCAGAGTGATGTAAGCTTCGTTATGATTGCATCATCCATGACTTCTAGGAATAACATGATGCAATTCATATCATGTATGATGCAATACCAGCTTCAGATTGCATCATTCATTGTTTTGCCTAAAAAGCAAGTACTGTCCAAACCCAGTCATAGATTTATTCATAGATCCAGTCAAAGATGTATTTTAGTCATTTCTGGTTTAAATTGAGATCCCTTCCCTTTATAACTCACTTATCCTCCGCCATTCCCAAGTCAAGGGTCGTATATACTGACCCAATAGCATATCTTGAAAACTAGAGCCAATCAACAATTTTAAGCATCATTTTCGTTCTCAGTGACCCAGAATTAGTAAAGTTTGACTACATTTATTTCAGAAGCATTTTGGCTGTAGAGCAGTGTTATTCTTCTGATTGCTCTAGGCCTAAGAATCCTGATGCTGAGTCACTGGAGGTACAGGGAGGAAGGGTTGGAGTCACAGGACTGCTTGGGTTACAGAGCCAATGCTGTGGGGTGCTTCTGGCACCGGGTCTTGGCTGCGAGAGTAGAACTTGGGTAATGAGCTCCCAGTGTGAAGCAGCACAAGTGCAGCTGATTATCCACTACGAGCCCCACGGCTTTTTCAGAGTCTCTGCTTCAGTGGTCATAGACTGAGTTTGGTGGCAGGAGTGAAGTATTGTGGTGCTGAGACAGGCACCTGCTGCCAGGGACGAAGCCATGTCACTCACTGGCAGACTTATTTGAGCTCCCCACTCTTCTGTCCATTGTTTAAGTAGGGAGACTAGAGCTGCATCCAGTGCTCCTGGGACACTGTGCTATTTACACAGCCTGCCTTAAACTCAGCCCCTGCCCCAGGCCCCTCTGCACAGGCATAGCTTGGACTGAAATGGCCTTTTACTGCAATGGCAGATCCAGCGTGGTGCTGGTTATTACACTTGCCCCCATCTCCCTGCATCTGCGACTGCCTGCTAGGCACCCAGCTGCTGATTCCATTTTCTCAAGTGCATCATCTCACACTTAATATTTAACATCAGTGCAAAATCCTCAGTGTCCAGCCTCTGGGGCAGGTTTAATCTTTTCCTGGGTATTTGCTGCTTACCCGTGTGTCAGGCACAGCTGAGATCAGCTGGGTTCACGAGCTCCCTCACAAAACCAACAACAAACCATTCGTTTTCACATCACAATGAGTAGAAATAAAAGCAACCAAGGGTTCAGTAATGAACTGAGAGAAACTGAAAAGTGACTCCTTTATTAGCAGCATAAAGTGGGACCTGCAAAGGGAAAAAATTGTGCTCATGCCCCTTTGGGACTTTGAATTTAGCAGCTATTGAGCTTCATGACTAATTAACATTCTGGAGACAGGAACCCCTCGTTACTGACAACACTCCTGGCCCCTTCAGTGAGCATGTGAATGCTAATGTAGATCCACTGAGGTGTCCAATGGGCCTTCCAGGGTGCCTGAGATATCTAAGGCTGTGTCTACTCACTGAAATTGCCAGAGCATCCGCAGCTGGGGATATAACTGGGTCTGCTGTGATCTGGTGCAATGGGTATGTTTAGAGATCTAGTAGGAAAAAAACAAGCGAGAAAACACCCCAGCTCTTTATTTATCACAAGCAGCTCAAAGGGCACATGCATCCAGTCCTATTGAAGTCCTTGGCCAGGTCCCCCTGAAGAACTGGCAAGGCAGGCTAAATTCCACTGCTATTGAGAAAGGAGAGGAATGCTCCTTTTCCAGTTATAGTCACACAGTCACATGACGTGCTCCTGATGAGGCTGTGGATCAAGCCTAGCCCAGATGGTTGGTGTCCCTATTTTATACGGCAGCTTCAGTGAGTCGCAGTGACTGAACAGCTGACATGGTCCTTGGCATCACTTCATTTCAGTGCACTGTCAAACAAGACTAACTCGACAAACTGAAGGGGGGAGTTTACTACTTAAAACTACATGCAACACATGACAAGCTGCTCTACTCTGAAATGTCATCAGAGCAATTTCCCTCCTTCCGGGGGGGGGGGAGGAGGGGGAGAGGGGTCTCAAGACATGTTTTACAACTTTCTATTATTCTGTCAAACCCAATTCTGCATGTCCTGAGCTCAGGGCTCAGCCACGCTGGTTCATTAAAGGCAGCAGCAGAAGCAGAGCACCGTTTACAAACAATGCAAAAGAGGGTTTATTGAATCATCACAGTTAGACCACGCCCAGTACAGCAACATTTGCAATAAATTACAGAACCAAACCGATAATCCTAGTGCTAGAAAATACACTGTTCACACACGCAGTGATTTCTGCTAGTAGCGCCCAGCAGAGTTACTGAATCAAGGCACAATTAAACCATTCACTCAATACTGCAAAAACAATGACACAGGGGAAAAGCAGCTGGACTCTTGCATCATTACGAGGGTCTTAGCTTGGCACTGACATTGCTAACAGGAGAACCTGGATTTCCAAGTTATCACGGAACGTATTAACAGAGGAATTTAAAGCCAGAAACATCTCCCAAAGCTGAGACTCCTGCTCTCCTGAGGCAATGTTCAGAGTGCCTACCTGGAAGGGTTGTGTCTGCATAGGGGGTCAGGAAGGAAGAGGAAAAACTCAAACAGCAAGAATCATTAATGCACAATGCAATCCTGATGCACAGACCACGTCCCCTGAAGACTTGTTCCTTTCGAGGAGGTTCAGTGAGATACAATCTGCAGATGATAAATATCAGTTCAACAGGCATGCAAGCTGCAGGGTTACCATTTGCCCAGGGCACAGTGCAACCAGCACAGCCAAGCTTCCCGAATCTGAGCTCAAGCCATCAGTGGGTGGGTTACCTGGCATGCTGAACCTGCTATCCTCGCTGACAGCCGCTCAGTGCCACCAGCAGGGTACAGGCCAGAATCCCAGCTGTGTGGTAAGACATCCCTCAGGTCTAAAGGCACAACCCAGGGACGTGCAGGGCGATTGGGTCTCAGGTCGTTTGCATGCCCCTGAAGGGTGGGCAAATCACGGGAACCTGAGCTAGAGCAAAGACGAGACTGGGCTCTGCTTCCAGCACTCAGACCATTCAAAAGACCATGTTAGGGAGAAGGGGAATTTCAAGAAAGAAGCCAAGGGAATCCATGGCACAACACACAATGCAGCCTGCAGTCCCTGTGGAGAACGCTTGAGGAGAGCCCTCCCCAGACATGAGGAGCAGGGAGCCGAGGCATCATCCCACTGACTGCACGTTCTGGGGGCATCCTCAGAGCAGGGCAGCTGAACCAAGCTGCCATGGTGGGAGACTCGGTCCCCATGATGGCTAGCTCTGCTCTCTCCACTAATTCGCTCCAGTAAAGCAGCTCCGTTCCAGCGGTGAGGGCACTGAGCAGAACACTTCACAACTGTATAATTTCACAAAGGGGTGGGGGGTTGTGCATAGGGGACCCTTAGAAGCAGAAGTGCAAGGTCAAACAGTTGGTTGCTACACCAGCAAACCCCAACAGTAGATGCTGCAGTTAATTTTGCCTGGAGGAGGCGAGTGCTTAGCCTTGCCTCACATCCTGCCCTTAGCGTGAGGAAGCCTTGTCCGTGCCTGCTGGGGATCAGCTCCCCAACTCCACGGGCACCACACACTTTTCCCGAGGCCTCGCAGGTCCTGCTCTCTCCACAGGTGAGCGAAGTGCCCCCTCCGAGCATCCCCCCGGAGCACCCAGCCCCTGCTCCACTGGACACAGGCAGAATTCACAGATTCGCGCTGCTCCCAAAGAACCAGGACCCCAGCTTAGCAGTCACCTCACAAGCCTGCAGCAGAGCTCCAAGGAGCTGTGACGACCGGAGCAGTGACAGGGCACTTCTGGGCACTCCCCCTCACACTGAGCTGCCCCTGTGCGCTGCCTGGCCCCCAGGGCATTTCACCCCGGAGCATGGTGCCCCAGGGCATGCCAAGGGAGGCCCCACCATTTCTTCCCCTCCCACTGCAACCTCAGTACAGAGCGACAGCAAATGAACATGACCACACTGCAATGGCAGCACCCACAAAGAACAGCACCCAAGTGTCCTACCCTCCACACGGCTGCTAGCACTGAGGGGCAGCGTTACCCAGCCATTAGAGCAGGGGATCAGGAGGTGGGGCTTTGGGAAAGAGCTGCCGATAGAACTCTGCAAAGAGACCTTGGGTGACCTTGGCCAGACACTGCACAGCCTGTCTCCGTGTCCCCCTCACTCAGTAAGGTAGCAGTGCTCAGAGAACTCTCCTTGCAGGGGTCGCGAGGCTGAATTCATGTCTGACGAGCAGCACCCTGGGAACAGCTGGCCGGCCTCCTGGCAAGGAACACGGGCAGCTCCACTCTGAAGAGCGCCTGCAAACAGCCCCGCGGGTCCCATATGCACTCGATCTGCCCAGCCAACGAGCAGAGAGCATGAGCTAGCACCATGGGGACTGGGTAGCCAGGCTTGTTCTGGCTCTTGCATCATCTACAAGTGGAACTGTGTTAGCAATTCTGTTCCTGATAAGTGAACCAGAGCCAAGTCAGGTGCCCTCTCGCACAGCTGCGGCAGGGCCAACGGGGGAAAAGCAGCCCATGCATCTCAGTCAGCAGTAGGCAGCAGCTCTGCACCTCGGTACGCAACAGGAGCAGAAGGCTTGGAAAACAAGGAGCTGCTGTTTATACAGAGACATTTTCAGAGTAGAACTGCACTTTAGTCTGTGGCTCTCCTGGGCCATTGACTATCTGCCATATCCAATACACCTGCCATTGCACGCCCCGCTGTGCTCACTCAGTACCCATCTCACTGCATTATCATTGGCGAGCAGCACTCAGGTATTCCAGTGAGACACCAAGCACGCTGTGTCCACGCCACTCTTTGGAAAAGGCAAAAATTCCTACTCAGGAGAGCCCATCTGTCTATATGGGCAAACAGGAAAGAAAATCCAACAGCGCACGCGCACACACAGCTGAACGCACGCGCACATGTGAGCGCGCACACTCCCTCATCTTGCTCTCACCCAGATGCACATGCCCTCCCTCACTGCAAATACCAAGGTTAGAGTAATCAACTGAGGCCTCCCTCCAGCCCCCAGACATGCCCTCCCGGGGTCCTAGTTTGGGGCGTATTGGGAAAGCGGCCCCGGCTGAGGTACGCCCTGCAGCGCAGCAAGTATCACGTGATTTAGAGAGGGAAAGAGGCAGATCTCCTGGAAGTGATGGCACTTCAGGGACACCCAGGGACTGAAGCCCCAGCAGCTCAGAGGCTGGCCGCGCTGGCAGCCACTTGTGCAGGATTTGGGATGCCCAAGCCCTGCGGGGTCACAAGTAGATTTGCTGTGGCTGTTTTCTCAGCAGCCAGCCTTTGGCTTGTGGATCAAGAACGTCAGCTTCCCACATGAGTTCGTGATCTGAGTTTAATGAGTCCATTGCTGGAGGAGAGTGCTGAGATGGTTCTCCGGGGTCTCCCAGGGAGCTCACATTTGGCTGCTGAATCGCATCCTGAAGAAGCGGTCCCTGATGTACTGCTCACTGTCCCCTGCCACCTGGCTCAGCCAGGTCACCCTACTGCCAGTGATGTCCTCTTTCAGCTTCCGCTTGGTGACAGACACCCAGCCTGGCCCCTCGCTGCTCTGTGGCCTGGTCAGCAACACGTAGCAGGCATGCCGGCTCCGCTCAAACAGAACCGCTGGAACAGAAAGAAAGGGGTTACAGCCAGACCCCTGCCCGGGACAAGGGCAGGTCAGAGCACTGCAGCCAACCCCGAGACTCCGCAGATTCCATGAGAGACAACAGTGCGAAGGGCTAGCTGCCATGGCCAGCGTCCCCGCTGGAGGGGCCCAGGGAGCAGCACTTACCGTCGAAGGCGACTATTCGGTCTGGGCTATTGTTCAGCTCCATGAGAACATTGGGGTAGGACGGATGGAACAGATACAGATTCTGGCGAGCCGCTTTGGAGCCCTGAAACAAACAGGAGGCATCAAGGCGGGGAAGCATGTCACCCAGCCCAGTTGGGCAGAAGCCACATTCAAAACATTCACCTGGCTTAGGGGAAATAAGCCAGGTTTTGCCCAACTCTGCTAGTTTGTCCCAGATGGCACCAAACGTGAGAGCCGGGCGGCAGACATTACCAGTCCAGCCTGGTCGGATGAGTCCCATCAGTACCAGAGCTGGGTTTATTCACTGGTCTGTAACGCCCCTGTCTGTTTATCATAACATTCCTGAATGCCCCAGGTGCACATCAGCCACACACAGGGCCCAGAGGGGGGAGGTTTAGGAAGACGTACCCAGCGGTCATGGGGAAAACACTTAGCAAGTCTGCACACAACAATCAGACTGACGTTGGCAAAGGTCCAAGTGGGAGCAGCAGCATCACTGCCCCTCACTCAGTTCTCACAGCCCCTCCCCTGGCTGGTTTCCCAGCACCGAGAGGCTGACGTGCCAGTTGACTTTCCCCATCCAGGCCGCTGTATGCCATGGCCACAGAGCTGGCTCAGGGCACGGAGAGACAGACAATGCTTGAGGGGCACCAGAGAATCCATGGCCTCAAAGCAAGTTCTACAGGGGCATTTGCTATAAGTGTGAAAAATCAAATCTAACCCTCCACAGGGAGCTCCAGCACATGCAATTTTCCAACAGCTTGGTAAAGACACGTGCAGACGCTCAGACAGCAAGTCTGCCGGGCCACCACCTCCTCCTGCTGGATGAGCTGAGCTTCCCCCCCACTTGCCAGCCCCATCCAGAGCACACCAAAACCCTCGCAGCCTGGCTCTCGAAAGCCTGGCAGGTGAGTAAGTAAACTTTGGCTTAAGAAACAGCTAGCTGCCCCGCAGTCTAGCAAGCACCGTTCACTGCGCAAAGCAGAGACCCCTCTGGTGTCCTGCAAATTCTGGTTCAAGATCAGAGTGAGCCCAAGGGGCTGTGTGTGCTGTCCCCGCTCGCCAGCCCTCACCGTTTCATTGGCCTCTGCCTGGTACTCTCCCCAGAAGAGGAACATGGACCGGTGATCTGCAGTATTGAGCGTGGCAGGCCTTGGACTCCCTGCTCTTGAATTCAGCTCCAGCTCCCAGTGGACTGCTCCAGAGCCACTCTCAACAATCATGATCTGGCAGAGAAGAAAGACCAGAGCTTACCCTGGAGCATACAGCACAGAGAGTCAGGGGCCCAGCTCCACACTTCCCTGCGGGAATAGAGCTTGGCTACATGGGGAAATCAGATCAGGGCAGGCTGGTCGAACCCAGACTCCATGGAATGAGCTCGGCACAGCTGCCATTTGGAACCTGTGCTCTAGTTCCTCCTCAGAGCTACACAACTTTCCATTGCTTCAGTCCCAGGCTCCTCTGACTGCCCCAACACCTATCCTGGGTGTTTGCTCGCTCTCCAATTTGGGGGATGATCACAGCTGAAATCTACACCATAGAAACATGCATGATGCAGTCACGGAGGGGGCACCCAGGGGCCTTTATGTGTAGTTAGCCATGTCAATGCAGAGTCACATCTGGAGGTGCTGGGAGAAATCAGACCCTGAGCTCTGCCTTTGAATTCACCTGCCGTTTATGGTTAGTCACTTGCAGGAGGGAAGAACTCCACACACTGTCTGGGCTGACGGAGGAACCTCCTGGAGAAAGAGCCGCACATCTCAGCAAAGGCCTTTGACACCTATCAAGAAAGCCAGCTCCCCTCTGCCCAGTGCAGGGCTAACTCCTTGTGCACATGGCACTCAAGCCCAACCAAACACACACCGTAGCCAGCAAGTGAGCAAGGAAAGGGGGATCAGAGCAAAGAACTTTCAAACCTTCTTCCTGTTGGGTCCAACTCCGCTTTCAAGGACTATGTGGAGAACGTCAGGTGTGTAGTAACCAAACACTGGCTCGCTGCAAGAGGGACAGGAGAAGGGGACTGAGACAAGGTACCGAGCAGCCAGGGAACAGGCGTCTCAGGCCCAGTGCCTGTTTGTCTAGAGCAGCCTGTACCCAGCCCACACCTAGACTCAACTGATCCCACAATGGCTCAGCATTTGGCATTACTAACTGGAAGAGCTGGGGGTCAGGCCCCTTTGCTCCCTAGGCTGAAAGTTCTGCTGAAGCAGCACCCAGGTCCTACTTCTTCCCTGAGACAGTGGGAGCTTCATCCCCTGAGGCACAGGTAGCCAGGCTGGGGCACAGAAAGGGGAGGTTCATGTAGTCGGCGCTGGCCTTCAGAGAAGATGTAGGATGACCCACCCCTCCATGGCATATAAGGTAATAAGCAGGCCAAGTTTCCAGCCGCTCATATGGCTACAGTATTTGGGGTGGGAGTTGGAGCCAGGCTATTGTGGAGGGGTTTGCAGCAGAAAAAAGACACACACCAAGTACCATGACCTTCTCTGCCCTCACTCCCTACTGTGGCTCCCAGGGAGAGACACCACAACACCCCCCCCCCCACTCCATGAATTGCAGCCATGTCAGCAGGAAATTGACTGAATGAGGCTCTCCCCACCCTCCCTAGAATCAAGACAGAGCATCAAGCTCTCCCCTTTGTGAAGAGATACTAGATCATATGAAACATGCACTTCACACAAAGGAGGGGCCGTGTTTCCCTGGAATCCAAGTGTCATTGGGCAAACTCTTGGAAAAGAGCATCTCTCTCCTGCAATGGCAGCATTACCTCAAGATGTGGGAGGCGTTGACAGTCCACAGGGAGTCAAGAGTTTGTCCATCGAGAAGCTCAGCCATGTCTGACTTCACAACCAAGATATTCTCCCCTGATCTCCCGGGAACCTTCACCAGGTAACGAATGTCTCCAGAGCTGAACAAGGAGAGGCCAAGACAAGGAACTAGTGAGCTTTCCTAGCTGAGAATACCACTTTATTCTTAGCATGCCTGATGTAGAAATCAAAGGCTATCATCCCACCAGGAAAAGGAAAGGATCACAAGACCATGCGCCAGGCCAGGCTCTGCTGAAGCCAACATTTAGGGAGGAGAAGCTGCAGGTTGCCAGCTCTCCCCATCCAACTGGGCACTCTCCCTCCACAGAGAGCAGTTCCCTCTGGGTGCCACATGCAAGAGAAGTAAAGCATTCACTCTCCCTGCACTCCAGGCGGCTGTATGAGGAAAGCACTCTGGGCTTGTGCCCTTTGTTTCTTTATGACTGACGGATCACTGCAACCTGGAAGTGCTCCCCTCCCCCTCTGGGGAATAAAGAGATTTCCCTGCCTGGTCATTGCATGAGAAATTCAGGTGCTGTCTAGTGAGTGAGTGACCAAAAACATGTTCTGGAAAATTCCCTTGTCCCCTGCAGTTACACGTGATTCTGGTACCTGCCAATCTCCTGCACTCAGACATACAACCTGATCTCTGCCCTCATGCTTTAGCCATGTACAAACCCACAGAGCTGTCAGTAATCTATTTGACTGTAGCGGAGGGGAGAGTTAAGGTTGTGTGGCTCGTGTGGAAATGCGTTTGGATGTGCAATGTTTAACTAGCCGTTGGAATTGAAAGGATGTCTGTAGTGGAGCTGACGAGTCAGAGCGCGTGGGGGGGAGCTGGACAGTTTACATTGCTGTGGGTTTGAAAGTTCATTTAACTGGCGATCGTCTCAATTTTGAGAGATCGCACAGATTGGGATTGTGCTTTACCCACAATGCAGTTGGCTGTTCAAGACTGTGTGTGCGTGGCATGCATTCCGGTTTGTATTGATGGGTTTAGTCTAAACGAATTTGAACCGGAACTCTCCAAAGCCTGAAACTTGGCATAAATCATAGAAATAAAACACAGAAGAGACATTACACCATCCAGTCCATCTCCCTGGGGCCAACACAGGACTGGGACATGCAGGACATTTTATAGGTTTTGTTTGATCTGTCCTGATCGTTGGGCGTCCCACCCCTTCCCTCTGCGGATGATTCCACAATCTCATAGATCTTGCTGCCAGGAAGTTTTTCCTGCTATTTAGCCTCAATCCATGCTCTCAAGTAATCACTTTCCCCCTAGTTCTAACCCCTGTGTGCCACACTCAATACTTCCTCTCTGTCTTTGGTGTCTTTCCCCAACCAACATATAACAGAATTACATCCTCTCCACTTTGTTGTCACTCACTGAGTCAGTCCCCCCAGTCTTCTCCTCATTGTCTGGCACTGGAACATGCTCCTGGACAAGCCAAGAGCAACACTGCTAAGTGGATCTTAGAGACAGCTAAACTACACTGCTGCATGCTTCAATCAATGGATCAGAGCCCCCCAATTAAATCACAAGGTCAGGAGAATGTAATGCTGCTACCTGAAAAGAGGTATGTGATGTGTGGGGCTCTCGATCTTCTTCTCCCACTGAGGATCTTGCTGGAGGCTGGTGAGTTTACTTTCCATCCCAGTTGCCATGCTGTAGAGATCCTTCAAGGAGTAGCCGTAAAGAGAATTTACTGTGCAAACAAAGAGAAATCAGAATGACGGCAGAAGCTTACCTTGACCCTTGTTCTAAACTGTGCAAATGAGGCCTTCTCTCCTATCCTTTCCCCTCAGAAATTGTGCATTAGATCCTTAGGGAAGCACAGACTAACTTAGCAACACGCCCTATACTCACTTGGCAACAGTGGCTGTGTTTCGAACTTACATTTCAATGCACTGTCCAAAGAACATGACTACATGTAAAGAGCGCTCTCTGGGTTCACAAGATGAGCTCTTATTTTCAGTAGAGGGCTCCTTCTGTTGCTTTATCATGAATGTCACTTCAGAACCTGGAAACTAGTCTTGCGAGAATGTGGAATACTGTATGACAAGCTGGAAGAGTATTTATGAATTTCAAAGTGATGGTAACTTCTCAGTACTGGGAGTATCTCTAGTGTTCAACCAGCAAGAGGCCTTACCAGTATTGAAGAGAACGTAGTAGGAGCCAGTCTTAGTCACATGCATGAGATAACCAGGCCTTGCACCCAGACTCAGTCTGCCACTGGTTCCGATCTGCTCCCCCTTCTTCCCCGAATAGATGAAACTTTGAGTCTACAGAGAAAATGAAAACCATAAGAATAAATACTTATTAACACCACTGCTGCAGGTTAGCATTCTACTGCTGCTGCAGCCCAAATCCTTGGGGAGGCTGACGGCGTGAGACAGAAAGGTGGCTGCCTGGGCACAGGTGGCTCTCCCATCTGTGAGGAGCCTTCTCCACACATCAGAAGACACTTTACATGCCTTAGATCACTTTTTGCTGTTGACTTAAGACAGCGGTTTTCAAACTGAGCTCGAGTCAGGGGGTACACGCGAAAAATCCTGTGACAGTGGACAACACATTTTATTTAGCAAGACTTTGCAATCTAATCATAGGTATACTACGACCCTATTCCAGATGGGGGTATGCAGTAGACTACATTATTTGGAAAGGGGTATGTAGCCTTAAAACAGTTTGAAAACCGCTGACTTTAGACAATGCAATTCGCAACACACAAACAATTCACAACATACCCATCCGGCCACTAAGTGTCACTGTCTGGCATGAGCCTCAATCTTTTTGTTGTGCATAATTACCACAGGGCAAGGTTAGGCCTATTAACAGTAACAAAGGTGACTGCAGAACAACTGCTTGTGCCTTTTTGCTGTTGTATTAGGCACAGTAACTCCTCACTTAACGTTGTAGTTATGTTCCTGAAAAATGAGACTTTAAGTGAAATAATGTTAAGCGAATCCAATTTCCCCATAAGAATTAATGTAAATAAGGGAGGTTAGGTTCCAGGGAAATTTTTTTCACCAGACAAAAAACTATATATACACATATACATACACACACACCACACACACACAGTATACGTTTTAAACAATTTAATACTGTTCACAGCTATGATGATTGTGAAGCTTGGTTGAGGTGGTGAAGTTAGAGGGTGGGATATTTCCCAGGGAATGATTTACTGCTAAATCAGTGGTTCTCAAAAACTTTTGTACTGGTGACCCCTTTCACATAGCAAGCCTCTGAGTTCGACCCCCCCCCCAAATTAAAAATACTTTTCTATATATTTAACACTATTATAAATGCTGGAGGCAAAGCAGGATTTGGGGTGGAGGCTGACAGCTCGTGACCCCCCATGTAATAACCTCGCGACCCCCTGAGGGCTCCTGACCCCCAGTTTGAGAACCCCTGTGCTAAATGATGAACTAGCACTGGGCTGAGTCGTCAAGGGTTAACACATTGTTGTTAATGTAGCCTCTCACTCTACAAGGCAGCAGGAATGGAGGGAGGGGAGATAGCACAGCAGACAGAGAGACAGACACACCTTGTGTGTGGGAGAGAGAGAAATGCACACTGCCCCTTTAAGTAAGCTGACCCACTCTTAAGTGCATTGTCTTTTTAAGTGGATCAGGAAGTTGAGACAGCAGCTGCTGCCCCAGTCTCTCTCTGTCTCTCTCCCTCCCTGTCCCCACCCTGCTCTATATGGAGAAGAAGGGGTAAGCGGGGTGTAGGAGCAGGGGGAACACCCTGACATTAGCCCACCCCCTTTCTTCTCCTCCCCCCCACCCCCAGAGGGCAGGAGCAGCACATGGCAGTGGGGGGAGGGACAGCTGCAATTGCTAGCCTGCTGGCAACTGCTGCACAGGGAATTTTGAGGAGCGGGGAGCGGATAGGAGGAGCTGATAGGGGGCTGCCGGTCCACCCTGGTTCCAAGCCCCCACCAGCTAGCTGCAACAGGCTGCTTTTCCTGCAAGCAGGGGACAAAGCAGGCGGTTGCCAAACGTTAGAAGGGAGCATTGCACAACTTTAAACGAGCATGTTCCCTAATTGATCAGCAACAAAACAACGTTAACCAAGACGACTTTAAGTGAGGAGTTACTGTAACAGGGAAATTTAGCTTTACAGGACACTTGTCTTACCCACAGCAACAGAGTGACTGGCTAGGTCTCGCCTCACTGGTTTATTGAGGGAGGATGTCTAGGACACCAGCTTTACTCTTTCTGAACAATGCCAGCTGATCTCGAACATCCGGTTGGCCAGAAAGAAGAGCAGAAGGCACTTGATTTAATGTTCCACAGTCCTCCTCATACCTTCTCAACTGTGCTTTACAGGACTCAAGCAGGACACTTCAGAACCTGATTTCCTGGCGCTGTTTGCGTTTCTCTCAGCCTGGGCAAACGGAACAGTCCAGGCAATTGCACTCTTGTTCACCGTCAGTCGCACTCTGTGGCTCACACACTAGGGGGGAAGGTACCATGGCTGGGTTGCAAACTCAGCAGGGGAATATTTACACCAAAGTACGGTTTTCATTGGGATTTATATTTTTAAATCAGTGAAATATTTCTATTCATTTGAGGGAGCAGTAAAACTTTATTGAGCTAAAAGCAGCAAGACCATGTCCCTTCTGGATGGGGAAGGGCAATGGGACCTGCCCTACTGAAACATGCTGGTCTCACAGAGGCCCCCATGGGGTACTTCCTGCTTTAGAATGGTACAGTAAGCAAAACTCCTGTCACTCCTAGCAGTATGTGCAAAGGGTCTATCATGGTTCAAAGTGATGATGTATGTACCTCATCTCCTGCAGTGGTAAAGATCATCACGTCCTGAACTCCATCCCCATCCACATCTGGTATCTTTAACAAGGGAGTCACCACAGTATAATTAGCTCCAAAACTGTTAAACTGCCTCCATCGAACTTCCCCTGAAACACACAGTTATTCCTGTTATGAGAAACATTTGCTCAAAATATGCAAAACATTTGCTCAGAATATTGTTTAGTGGCTCTGTAGGACTAAGGAACAATTTGTCGTTACTGTTATTGTTCTCTGAGATACCCCACAGCCTGATAGCCCATCCTGCATCACCACCTAGCCCTGCACACTGGGGTGTCAGATCTGGCACTTAGTAGTTACGGGTCTTCTTCGCATTTCAATTATAAATTCAAATGTTCATGGGTTTTATTCATAGATGAAGCTCAAACCTAGCTTTCAGCTGGGGAGCCTGAAATACAGCTGGCATTAAGGCATCTTTCCTAATTCTAAACAGTGAACAAAAAAGTGTATGCATTGGCTGGGACTGGATCGCAAGTATTTTTGTGGGGTCTGCTCTAGGAGAAAGATTTTTCTTTGACACTCTGAAGCTACTTCTGAGCAAACTCCAAATGGATGCATGAGCACATTACAGTATGCCACAGCTGAACTCCAGAGACACAGGGGATCTGGGAGAACCTCACCTCTACTGGGGACTGATACCTGCTGAGAACAGCTAACACCAGCCCAAAGCAGGTAACTGGCATGCGTTGTTCCTTTTCATGACCTGTAAATTTGATGTGATCTACTGAGGGAAGATCCGTGTGATTTTTAATCAGACTCCTAAAACACTACATAGAAGTCTAGATTTAAATGAATTAAACATAAGAGCGGCCATACTGTGTCAGACCAAAGGTTCGTCTAGCCCAGAGTCCTGTCCTCCCACAGCAGCCAATGCCAGATGCCCCAGAGGGAATGAACAGAACATGTAACCGTCAAGTGAGCATCCCCTGTTGCCCATTCCCAGCTTCTGGCAAACAGAGGCTAGGGACACCATCCCTGCCCATCCCGGCTAATAGCTATTGATAGACCTATCCTCCGTGAACTTATCGAATCCTCCATGAACTTATCAAATTAAATTAAAGTATTCTTCAGAAATTTCTTACTCATATCTTTGCTTCTGCACAGAAGCAGATCTGCCAACCTGGATGTTAGGGGACACACAATCACAACTGAAGATATAAACTGTATGTGCCCAACAACTTTTAAAATAATGAAGCCTCTGTCAGCATCTTACCCAATTTACCAAGGGTCGTGGTAGATTCCCCATCAGACAATTTTTAAATCAAGACTGGATGTTTTTCTAAAAGATCTGCTCTAGGAATGATTGTGGGAAGTTCTCTGGCCTACAATATGCAGGAGGCCAGAGTAGATGATCACAGTGGTCCCTTCTGACCTTGGAATCCATGATTCTCCCGTATCTGAGGAATGGACACACAGCCTGTCTGATCACTCCTTTGCCAATTGTTTTTGTGTAAATGCAAGCAGTGATATTTTGATTTTGTGTTTATCATCCCATTTTACCAGCTCAGAAACAGCTAAAAGGGCTTTGCTTAAATTTTCCAAATACAATTCAACCGCCACACACATGCGGTTCCAGACCGAAAGGAATTTTACCCTTCCAGGAGTGCTGGGTAATCACTGGCTCGCTGTCATAAGGGCAGCAGTGCTGAATAGCAAGGAAACTTTGTGCTGTCTGCAGTAATGCAGAGCAGGCTGCAGCCCATGACCTCGGTAGAACATTTCCAAAGCTTTGACCACAACATTAGAATTTGTTACTATCACAACAGATTTGAAATGGGAGGGTTCCTCTGTGGAGCAGAGGGTAGCAGAGAATTTTACCCCCACAGATAACAAGCAAACATACAAGGGCAGGAGAGAATACAAGTTGTAGCTAGTGATACCCTGACTCCAAAGTTGCCTGAGGCTATGAAGGGAAGGCCAGGCTGATGCATCACATATTTAATTGCAGGTGGTTTTTTTCTTTTCTGGGTAGGCAGTGAAGTGAAGTTGGAGGAATGTGTCCCAATGCCTCAAAATGGAGTCTGATTTAGCACAGACACAGGCTTGAGCAATGGCCATTTTAATCCAACACGAGGGAACGTTGGTGCTTTCATGCCCTTATATTGATCCTCATTAAGGATGAGCACAGAATCCAATTGCCTCCAGTCTTCTGCTCAGTTGAGGGAGAATTTCAATGGTGTCCAGAGACCTAGAGTACAACTGCACTTCCTTAGGGTTTTCAGAGTTAAGGCAAGCAGAAGGCAATGAAAAACAGAGATGGAAAATGATACATGCATATGCAGGAAATCTACAACAAAACATACTATTCTGTCTGCGAAAGAATTGAGAGACTAGATCTTTGAGGTGGTGAGAGCGGAGTCTCACCACTGATTTGAAAACAACCAGATGAGGATGAAATGTGAGACTCTCCTTTCAGGATGTAGGACTCCCAAGGCAAATACCTTAGAACAAAGATATCTGGGGGTTAGGACCTTTGTTAAACCATGCGAGCAGGACTCTCGGGGGGAAAAAAAAACCTTGCCAAATGCTCTCCTGGATTTTACTCCTAGGTTAAGCTACCCCTGGGCCTTTGGTGGCTCTCTAGGATCACCGATTTGTAAAGGGATTATTGGGAAGGAGCTGCTTATTTCTTTGACTTCTAGGCCCCTGATAAGGTGATGATGTTTGGAAGGCAAGCACTGCCCTGTGCCGAAAGATATCCTATATGGGCTACCCATGAAACGAACTGCGAGCTTGTTATGCTCCACAAAGAAGAAGCTGAAGATTTCTGTTGCACCAAAGGCCTGGCGTGGAGAAGTGCTCACTGTATGGCAGTGGTCCCCAACCTTTTTCGTCTGGCAGGTGCCAGACAACGAGCCACGGAGGACCGTGGCAGTGGACGAGCATCCGCCGAAATGCCGCCGACAAGCGGCAACGTCAATAGGCATTGCCGATGCCGCCGGTGGATGCTCATCCGCCAGCCAGTACACTGGCGCACTTAGACGCCCCGGCGGGCACCATGGCGTCCGCGGGCACCGCGCTGGGGACCCCTGCTGTATGGTATCGGGACAGAGCATCAAACAACTTACAAGTAGGCACTGCCATGCAGCCATCTGCAGGGGCGCTGGAACAATTTTTACAGTGGGGGTGCTGAGAGCCGGTGGACCAAACTGTAAACCCTGTATATGATGGAAACCATTTTAAGACAGGGGGTGCAACAGCACCTCCCATCACCCCTAGTTCCAGCACCTATGGGCATCTGGCATGGTCAGCAGAACTGTGGGAATCTGAAATCAACCAGTTAATATTGGCAGCAGGGCCAGCTCCAGGCACCAGCCCAGCAAGCAAGTGCTTGGGGCGGCCAAGGGGAAGGGGCGGCACGTCGGGCTGTTCGGTGGCGGGTCCCTCTTGGAGGGAAGCACCTTCCGCCAAATTCCCGCCAAAGAAGAAAGCGGCGCGGTGGAGCTGCCGCCGATCGCAATTGCGATCGCGGCTTTTTTTTTTTTTTTTCCTGCCGCTTGGGGCGGCAAAAACCCTGGAGCCGGTCCTGATTGGCAGGTAGCGGGGCAGTTACAAAATTAGTAATACTGTGTTTGTATATTATTGCCATTTCTCCCACCCTTTTATTAAAAGCAAAACAACCAAACAAACAAAAACAACCCCCCACACACACCTCTTTGGGGCAGAGCCTGGCTCTTCATATACCTCTGTACCAGCACCCAATACATTCAGGGCACTTCTGTAAGGGAGAATGACTGGCTCAGTGTTACCAGAAATTTAGACCCTGGCTGAGTGACATTCTGGAGTAGTCATGAGAGCTTTTTCTACATTTTGTAACGTACCCATATTGAAGCAGAATTGCCTTGTCTACACAGGGATGTTAATGTGTGTCCTAAATTTTGTCATTGAGCAAGACCAGGGTTTACTTTGACCAGCTAACATGTTAAAACTACAACTTGGCTTGTCCACACTAGGATCTTAAAATATATGGGCTGACACCTTTTCTCCTGGTGAAGCCAAGGGCTTGGTGAAGATGACACTTAACAGGGAAGCAGCACTCTTTTCATGCTAGTCTTGCTCCACGGAAAAACACAGGACCTGAAAGCAACTAAACCAGGGGAGGGCAAACTACGGCCCGCGGACCGGATCCAGCCCATCAGGGTTTTCAATCCGGCCCGTGGGATTGCCAGCCCCGTGGCGCACCGGGGCTAAGTCAGGCTCCCTGCCTGCCCTGGCCCTGCGTCGCTCCTGGAAGCGGCCAGCACCATGTCCCTGTGGCTCCTGAGGGGGGTGGAGGGCCCAGGAATGGGGAACCGCGGGCAATGGGAACTTTGGGGGTGGTACCTGCAGGTGAGGGCAGCGCACAGAGGAGCCACCTGCCCCACCCCAAGGAGCCACTGCCAGACATGCTGGCCACTTCTGGGAGAGGTGCAGGGCCAGGGCAGGCAGGGACCCTGCCTTAGTCCCGCTTCGTGCCGCTGCCACTCCGGACCCACTTGAGGTAAGCGGCCCTGGGCCAGAGTCGGCACCCCAAACCCCTCCTGCACCCCACACCCCAACCCCCTGTGTTAAGCCCCTGGCGCACCCCAACCCCCTCCCTCCTGCACCCCAACCCCCTGCCCTGAACTCCCCGCCACACCCCACACTCCTTGCCCCAGCCCTATATTCATGGCCCTGCATACAATTTCCCCACCCAAATGTGGCCCTCGGGCCAAAAAGTTTGCCCATCCCTGAACTAAACCCAAAAGGGGCATGTATATAGCTTCCATTATGTCCACAGATAAACTGTGCTGAGAGATTTCTTTCAAGACAGAGGTTCTGCTACTAGAAATATTTTTTAAACAGACTAACACCTTCAGTTTTATTGGAAGGTAATGGCCCAGAAATAAGAACATAAGAATGACCATAGTAGGTCAGACTAATGGTCCATCTTGTCCAGTATCCTGTCTTCTGACAGTGGACAGTGCCAGGTGCTTCAAAGGGAAGGAACAAAACAGAGCAATTATTGAGTGATCCATCCCATTGTCCAGTCCCAGATTATGACAGTCAGAGACTTAAGGACATCCAGAGCATGGGGTTGCATCCCTGACCATCTTGATTAACAGGCATT